GTACTGCTAACAACTCAAACAGAAAAGCTAATAACACCACTAATAATGCTACTATAAGTTATGAGTGAAGCTTAGAATAAAGCTAATAAACAAACAGTAAAGCTAACAGTAAAACTAACTACACCAGCAAAGCTAAAAGGAGACCTAATAATACATCTAAATCACAATGCTTAATAACAAACAAACATAAGTGACCAGTAAAGCTTAGAACAGGGCTAATAAACCCCAGAGAAGCTTAAAGCCAACATTAACATTGACCGTTATGAGTTATCAGTGTTCTGGGCTCAGTGCTTTGTCAGGGGCACCTGAGTGTTTGTGTGCATTTAAAACATCCTCCTTTTAACATCCTGTTCCTTTCAGGCTGGCCTAAATGTGAAGTTATCAATAATACATAACGCCAGAGATTAACTTCAAACCGCTTTCTGAACCAGCAGCCGACGCGCAGGACATTACTCCAGCGGTGAGCAGCCAAACAATGAAACGACTTGAAAGAGCGGCTGGCGCTTTAACAGCCTTTAAAAAACCCAAAACGGACGACTTCCTGCACGTTCCATTACCTTTAAACAATCTCACGCACACACAATTTCCCCTCCGCTCCTCACACACACACACACACACACACACACGGCTGCCGTGTCACATGACCACAGCCTCGAGGGCGGTCCTGAGCTATAATTACAGCCATGATGTCATGCGCCACTCACTGTTGCCACAGAAACTAGGTCAGCGTTTAACCCTTTCCCATAATTCTGTGGGGATTCCTCACCGGCGCCACGCGAAATGTTACAAAACACTTTCCACCGGTCCTTTTCATGTGGTTACCAATTCGCGTTCGCGTCTGTGAAACCGAACAGCACCTTACTGTACTTTATTTACTATCACTGGCGGCTTTGAAGGCAGAACACCTCGACGTTCTGGTAAACGGGCAGGCAGGGGGGATTTTAACGCTGAATCACGCCTGTCTTCATCAACCACCGACCACACCGGAGGAAAAAGGACGCAACAAGGGACACCAAGACGCTTTCATTTCTCCGATTCACAAAGGAGAAACACGACAGCCTTCAGTCACATGTTCCTCGTTCAAAGCGGCCAGCGTTAAACAAAACAAAATACTCGGATTTCTCAGCAAACGCAAAAGGTAAAACCCTTTTCCATTCGCTGGCAGAAACAACGTTTACCAGTAAACAAGCTTCAGTCAAAACAGAAGAAAGCTTACAGTGCAGTCACACCAGGCTTTTTAAAGCACATCCCAGCCTCGGCGGAGCTTCGGAAAAGGCCGGCCCCGGCCATTCCAGAAATGCTGATTTTAAATAAACAAACACAGGCATTCACAGCGCGCTTAAGCCTCAGGAATTGGGGCCATACCGAAACAGACCACGAGAAAGCGTCAGCCACAAACAGCTGAAACTGAGAGAAGATGGACAGCCTTTCGCACATTCGCATACCCAATCATCACTTATGTGTGAAATCAATAGCCATGCCTCGGTTTTTAACGTGCTGTCCATTTGGATGTATGACCAGTTTCCATAATAACACAGCATAATAGGAGGGAATTCCACAGATTGAGTCGGTAAGATGTAAACAAAGTCATTCGGACTGGTTCCAAAGTCATTCGATGCCTCTCAAAGCTCCCTCAAAGAAAATGATGACATTAAATGGTTATAAATTCAATGTCTGAAACATCACGATGCTATTGAGATTTAACCTTAAAATATATTTCTAAAACACATTCAAGGTGGAAAAATAGTCCCTAAAAATACTTATTTTCAGATTTACCAGTATTTTTCCTTCATCATTATTACATACAAAACCCAGAAGACACGTGTAGATCCACTAGTAGTTTTGGATAGTAAATAAAATGGCCATATTAACATTGTAGTCATGGTGACCCTTGGTTTCTATCATCACCACCTAAAGAAAGAGTCTCTACAATGAATCATTTCACATCACACCACTCCGAATGACTGGTAAAACTCAACCACTGAATTATCTGATTCCCCTTTAAACTGCAGTCTAATCATTCAGTCACTAATATCAACACTCATCATCTAGTAACCACGATCAATGACTCGGTAACTACTATGTAATAAATCTAAGTTATGAAGTCATAAAGTTATGAGAGTAAGGATCTGAATCAAGCACAGAGGCCTTGGAGTTTAATGGGTTAAAGGCCAGCTACAAATGTTAGGGGCTCTCCAAATGTAAACATCAACAAGGTTACAAAAGTCATGGTAAGCGAGCAAATAAAACTCAAAGGCCAAATTACATAAGAGTCACACTGACTGCAGGTCAGCGGCGCTTTCATACAAACAACTCTGAGGGTCTGTATGTGGGTCAAAACTTTAATTAATCACTCTCCTAATTATTAACATACATATTAGACTCTTAGTAGTTAGGGAACAAAATATATAGTAGATACTGAATTACTACTAATAGTTACTGAGTAATTCATAGTAGTTACTGAATAAATTACTAGTAGTATGTGAATAATTCACTGTAGTCACTGAATAATTTCTAATAGATATTAAATAATTCATAGTTATTGAACAAATTACAGTAGTTATTGAATAGTTAGCGGTAATTACTGACTAATTCATAGTAGATACTGAATAATTACTAGTAATTATTTACTAACTCACGGCAGATGCTGAATAATTACTAGTAGTTACTGACTAACTTATGGCAGATACTGAATAATTACTAGTAGTTACTGACTAACTCATGGCAGATACTGAATAATTACTAGTAGTTACTAACTAATTCATAGTAGATACTGAATATTTTGTAATTACTGAATAATTCAAAGTAGTTACTGAATAACCACTAGTTATTACTGGCTATTCATAGTAGTTACTGAAAAATTACTAGTAGATATTAAACAGTTCATAGTTGCTGAATAACTTATAGTAGTTACTGAATAATTACTAGTAATTACAGACTAATTCATAGTAGTTATTGAATAATTACTAGTAATTACTGACTAATTCATAGTAGTTACTGAGTAATTACTCAAAGTCACAGAACAGTTTAGTAGTTACTGGATAATTCACATGTACATACTGAATAATTCAGAGTAGTTACGAAATATTGCTAGTAGTTAATAAATAATCACTAGAAGTGATCAATATTACTAGTTAATGAGTAATTACAAGTAGTTACTGCGTAATAACCCTTAAGATGACTATCTAAATAATAAGTCTTACGATGAATAACTGTATAATAAGCCTGCAGTGTAAGGGGTTAATAAACTCTTGGCTACGGTTACAAAACTTGCAGCATCCGCTTACGAAACGGCATCAAAGCCACACTCTGGCCGGCCAGAGCGTCCTGGGATGCGCGGCGGTGATCTCATGGGCTGTCAGGCGCATTTGTAAGCCTGGACGGAAGGAAACGGAGGTGTGTGTGTGTGATCATCGGTCACTCTCAGAGTCCGAAAGCCGGATAAAGCACACGAGCGGAACGCGCCAATTACAGCTCAAGGCCTGTCATAGTACTGCCCACACTACAGGTTACTCCAGTCCATAAACAGTCGACCATGTGCTCACACACACATGCACGCATGCGCATGTGAATGACCCACTCACTTTTACTCCCGTTACCTCGAATGACCGGGAAAGTTCGGCAGCCCCGCCTCGGGCTCGATCCAAGAGAGGGAGAGAGGAAAAAGAGAAAGAGAGAGAGAGACAGACAGAGAGAGAGAGATGAAGAAAGAGTGAGGCCTCCTCCTCTTCTCTCTCTGCCAGGCAGAGCGCACGCCGCTCTCTGTTTTTCGCTCTCTCTTTCCCTCGCTTTCTCTCTTCCAATAAGCGGCGAGCGCGCGGCTCTTTAAACCTGGGCCTGTCCCACGCCGGCTGAATCAAAACACACACACGCTCTCCTCCCAGCACAGCCGCTCACACACACCCACAACACGCCCGCTTTTACACCTGCACTTCATTTAGAACCACTACCTTTAATCACGCTCTCGTTTATCAGATCTCATATTCCACTAACACATTCTGGAACCGATTCTGACTCAAGAATGGATTCTGGTTCTGGGAATGATTCTGGTTCTGATTCTAGAACTGACTGTGATTCTGCAACTGATTCTGGCAATGATTCTAGAATTGACTGTGATTTCGATTCTGATACCGATTCTGATTCTTGAACTGATTCTGAAACTGATTCTTTAATTAACTCTGATTCTGAGTTTGGAAGCAATTCTAATTTCCGGAACTGATTCTGGAATTACCTGTGATTCCGGCTTTTATTCCAGAACTGTAATTTTAATTCTGGCTCTGATTCTAGAATTGATTGTGATATTGATTCTGATACCGATTCGAGTTCTGATTCTAGAACTGATTCTGATTCTTTAATTAATTCTGATTCGGAGTTCGGAAGTAATTCTGATCCCGGAACTGATTCTGGGATTAATTCTGATGTTAGTTTTGATTCAAGAACTGTAACTAATGTTAATTCTGGCTCTGACTCTAGAACTGACTCTGCAACCGATTCTGATTCTGAATCTGACTCTGATCCTGATTCTGGCTCCGGTTCTGCTTCTAGCTCTAATTCAGGAACTGGTTCTGGTTCTGGAGCTAAAATTGATTCTGGAACTGATTCTGGAACTGATTCTGATCAGCCTTTGCTGCCCCTCTTAGCCCTTGTGTGGTGTCTCCGAAGCGAGGTAGGAGATGGAAAGATGTAAACCCACCTGAAGAACCACAAAAGCCAAGACAGAGTTCCACCTGCAAGTCACAGGTGGCTGCCTGCCTACAGCTGTCTGTCTGTCTGTCTCTCAACTCAGATCAAAGAAGCTTTACTGCAATTGTCATGTTCCTTTACACTGGTGCCAGAGAACACATTCAACCCTACTTAATCAGACAGTAGATTTGATTATATATATATTTTTAGTTAATCACAGAAAGAAACACCTGCTGAAATGACTGCATTTCCCATTATTCTAGAGGGAAAAAGGGGAACATAGACGATGGTCTGTTTGTGAGACAGACTGTTCTCACCTCTGTTGCCAGGTTTGGGGATAAGGTGCACGCTTTTACGCTGTCTTCACAATATTCCACCTTACATAGAGACAGAGAGAGAGAGAAAACAAAAAGGCCTCGACTTTAATACAGATTTATTCATAGAGAACAATGCACAGAACAGAAACAGCACATTCTCAGTTCAGTTCAGATCAATGGGCTTCATTGTACATGCAGTACAGCCAAGGCAACAATACAATTAGAGGCATTACAATTGTACTATAAGTAATAGCATTAGTAGTAAACATGTGGGACAGCCAGTCTGACTGATTTCATAATAGAAAACAATTGAAAACGGGAATCTTTTTAATTTGCCCTCTATAGCAGCCACAATGTATGTGACTCAGAAATGTCCTTTTCTTTTAAATAATTATGTAACACTCTGCTTAATGACATCCCATCTCATTTAACCTGATATAATACATCCACCTCAGCACTGCAGTATAGCTGTACAAACACATTTTACATTAAGGTCAATGGAGCAAACTGCTAATATTAAAACAATGAACCAAAGCAACCCCATACGCACCGTCTGGCTATTCTACTGTTTTGTCTTTGCTCTATGACCCCCCCCCCAACAACAACCCCCCACCCCCCCCCAAAAGCCCCCCCCCACTTACGAGACCGGTTTCCCTGCTATAACTGTTAGCTTCCCAAAGCTATTGAATATTTACCCTCTAGGTCCTGCTGCCGCCTTCTTCTCACCACCGTCTAGTCGTATCCCCATCAGAAGCCTCTCTCTCTCTCTCTCTCTCTCGCTCTCTTTCTCTTTCTTTCTTCCTTTCTCTCTCTCGTTCTCACTCGCTCCTTCTCTTTCTCCCCCTCTCTCTCTCTTTCTTTCTCTCTCTCTCTCTCTGCAGTCTCTGTCCATTCAGGAAGCCATCTTGCGTGTTTTAATCCTGTTTTACATTAGCGCGCTTGTACGCTCACTCGTTCGCTGGCCTCCTTTCCCACCCCTCGTTCACTCACTCTCGCTCTCTCTCTCTCTCTCTCTCTCTCTCTCGCTTCCTCCCCTTCGTGGATCGACTACATATACACACAGAGAGGAGGATTTTATTTAAAGCCCGTGTGATCACTATCACTGCACACACAATACCCCTCCCTCCCTCTCTCTCTCTCTCTCCCTCCTCCCTTCTCTCTCTTTCTTCCTCTCTGGCGAGCGAAAAAGCGAACTGCACACATGATGTGAATGCCCCCCCCCCATGCACTCATATGCTCCCACACACATGCACGCACGACTACGTCACGCTACGGAGAGCGCACAAAGAGAGCAAAGCCGCCAATCAGAGGCAGGCGAGGACTCTGCTGCTAGGGCAAAGCACAGAGGAGTAGCGGGGGGGGAGGAGGGACAGAAAGAAAGAGAGAGAGAGAGAGAGAGAGAGAGAATGAGAGAGAAAAGACGCACAAGTAAAGGGGGATGGGTGAAGAGAATGGAGAAGGGGGGGCACGTGCTGTGCACAGTGTGTACACAACCAGAGTGTGCGGCTTGAGACGGAAGGTAGGCTGGGGGGAAGGGATTCTCGCTCTCTCTCACTATCCCTCTATGTCTCTCTCTCTCCCTCTCTCTGGTTGTCAATTATCTCCTCCAGCTTGCCTGTCCTAAACAATACCTCTGGTATGCGCTGCTATCACTGAAGACCATCTGTGTCTCGGCAATTTGGAACAACCGGACTGGACTACGTGCACCACACACGCACGACGGTTTGTTTTTGTATAGTGTCAAGACATTTTATATATATATAAATAAATATATAAATATATATATATATATATATATATATATATATAGAGAGAGAGAGAGAGAGAGCGACACATGTATGTGTGTGTATGTATATGTAAGTACTTTTACGTAACAGTACAATGTAATCCTATGTAACGTATCTATATGTAATATTATATATGCCACATACACATTCTAAGTACCTATGTGTAATTATACGATTATACCTCCCCATACCTGCAATATAAGTCCTACTATGTAATAATGTTGCATGTGTAACACTAAGATGTCCCGTATGTATTATATATACACACACCCAAGTCCTCATATATAACAGTAAGATGTCCCTCTGCATCTACGAGGTATTACATATATGAGTATCTACATATTATAACAAAACGTCCCGTGTGTGTTATACGTTTATACGTACAGTCTGCAAATATCTATCTGTAAAACGTCTCACATCTATTACATATATGCTTTTGACATAATTTGAAAATGCCACATCATGTGAGAAGTCCAAGACAAATGCTTCTACATTTACGTACATTAGAAGTGAAGGAGGTGTTTTCCTTCTTCTGTAAAGTCAGCATTTTGGAGACAAGGTTTTGTCCCAGCAGCGATGATAATGAGTAAGGAATGTCCTAGGCCTAACACTAAACCTAATCTGAACCTCAGAAACCAAAACTGTTTTGCTGTTTCAGTTTTAAAAAAGGAAACATGGATTATTTTGGGAATTGTGTTCGGTCATGTAGGTCAGTTCTGGCGTTCTCTAGTTTTGACCTGAACATAAACAAAAACAAACACAGCACCAACAGAAACAACAACCAATTGGATGCGCAGAATCTTCAGTCAACAGCATTAATGAAGCTGAGTCACCTCATTACAGTATCACATCTATATATATATATATATATATATATATACATATATATACATATATATATAATATGTGTGTGTGTGTGTGCATATATCGCTGTTGTCAGAACAAAACTTCACTTTACAAGAGAAGGAAAAAACATACTTTACTTTTAATGTAAGTCAATGGAACCAGACATTTTGGGCTGTTTCTTGTATCCATTCACATCATGTAATTTTCAAGTTATGTCAAAAACGGAAAAATGACCAAAACAGAGATGCGAGGTTTTGTTCTGACAGCAGCGACTTATTTCTATTATTTGTTACTATATTTGTTCAGGCTACTGTACTGACAAATGCCTTGTAAATATTCGCCCAATGAAACGGATTCTGATTCTGACACAAGATTAAAAGAGAAACAACGCATGACCACATTCGAGTCATTTCAGTTCTTGTCATGTCATTCTTGATCATGTCTTGACTGACCCCGCAGACTTATAATACAGCTGCTGGTAATGATTTACTGAAACAGCGGTCAACGGCACGTCAACATGACCGCAAATACCATAGGTTTAAAGGGACTGCAGCTGGGGGCAGTTGTGCTTTAAACACGGGGTAAAAACATCAGAAATGAATTAAATTAGAGATTATATGATATTTAAAACACATAAAAGACATGTCTCGTCATGAATGCCCTGCATTTTGTTTACTTATGTACTATTACTTTTTAACAACATACACTTTCAGTGTCTTTAGCGCTGGCATGAATTAATGAAGTCCAAAGAAAAGAAAAAGCTGCCGGTATCCTGATAGGACCCAAACAAAGGGTCACTGGGTACAAGTGCCAGTTTATGGCAGACAACACGACTCTCTACTGACCTCAATTACAAACACGAGACACAATCATATCTCCATTCAACACAAAACAAAACAGGCAAAGCTGAGAACGAGGCCATCAGTCACCTGCTGGAAACGTTTTTATATAAGAATGCAAGAAGCGGCAGAATGAGACGATCGAGAGCGACAGACAAAAACCCTCCTTATCCGCCGCTTTAGCCATGCTAACGTTAAATCAGCACACGATCTGCTCAAAACCACGGAGAAAGAGGGGAGAAAGTGAGAGGAGATAAAAGACGAAAGAGAGAGAGAGAGAGAGAGAGAGAGAGAGAGAGAGAGAGACAGAGAGAGAGAGAGACACAGACGGCGCACTATGAGAAGACAGCCTTGGAGAGGAAAAAAAAGAAGGCGGTTTGGTGACGCAGCAGTTGTTATGAGCCCAGCTTACGCAGCGTGGGAACTCCACAAACGTCATACCAGCCTCGGTGTGTGTGTGTGTGCGAGTGTGCACGATTGCAGGAACCACGAGGTGTTGGAGGTTGCGCTGTGGAGCGCCGAGACTTTATTTCTTCTGTCGCTTTAGCACAACGGCAAAAATTAAAACCAGCGTGCAGACTTCAGTTAACCACTGCGAGTCTGCTCTCGTATTCATGGCTGGAACTGAAATGAAGGGATTCTCCAGTGAAACGAAGGAGGAAAAGAGTGGACGAACTGACAGAGAGGAAAGGATTGGACTGTGCGTGTATATGTGTACATACATACCTACAAATATGTGTGTGTGTGTGTGTGTGTGTGTGTGTGTGTGTGTATGTGTGTATGTGTGTGTATGTATATATATACATATATATACACACACACATATGTGTAGTTTTGGACAGAATCTGAAAATGCCTGTTGCTCTCTACATTGTAGGTAAATTTCATGATGAATGGACCAAAAGAAATGGCCCAAAATGACTTGGGAAAAACTCTGGTTCCATTGACTTACATTAAAAGTAAAGTATGTTTCTTCCTTCTCCTGTAAAGTTACCATTTTGGAGATACGAGGTGTGTGTCTATATATCCAGAGTTTGGGCACCCTGGTCAATTTCCGTCTGTTGATTTCTTAACTGAAACTTAAATGAATACATCGTCTACAGAGAACACGTTTTTGTATATTTTAATGCACAATTTCTGTGAGTGTAACATATAGGGGAGGGGGGGGGTGTGGCCTGTAAAAAGTTATGCCATATTTTTTCTTTTAAATTTTATTTTTTTTTTGAATATGTGGGAAATCATCAACTGATTTAATTTCATGAAGTATTGATTAGCCCAACCAGGCACTGTACTGGACGACAACTACAAATAATACTGGACCTCTGAAAGAGAGGATGGAAACAGGAAAATGAATATATTGATAGATATAAAATCAACAATTTCTGTATTAATGTTATTGTATAAATATATAACTGCTGTCAGAACAAAACCTTGTATCTCCAAAATGAGAAGGAAACACCATTCTTAAGTTTTAATGGAAGTCAATGGAACCAGACGTTTTCCCCCCAACTAATTTTGGGTAATTTCTGCTGGTCATCATGAAATTCATACACAACATAGAGGACAACGGGTATAGTCAAATTACGTCA